TATTTAAACAATAAATCTGTCACCTGATAGTATCTCTAGTGCGAAATTAATATATGGCGGTAAATAATGTTTATAAATCAATTAGTAATACAATTTTTCAGATAACTCTGTCACTATAACAAACACACATATATAATTCACATTAAAACCGAAAAAAATCTGGTTATAAGATCTAGAATCATACTTAGCAATGTTTAGTTTGTTCTTTACTGTCTTAGAAGGTACAAAAGGTTTTTATGATACTAAGTAAGATATGAATTCCAATTGACTGTGCCTGTAACATACAGCCCAGATGCTGATTATACATGGCCATAAAACTGACATCTTTTTGCATTTTCTCCATCTGCTTTTTAACATAAATGGGAAAAACAGCTGTCAGAGATTGAAACATGGATTTAACCGGCAAAAGGAGGGCAAAGAGCAATGACTCTATCTTTTGAAAGTTAAATTGAGCAGTGCAGCCAAGGTAGTCTGAGGGCAGAAACAAACTACTCCTTAGAATGGGGAGTCTGTCACCCAGTACATAGTAATCTTAAAGTCAGTACTTTATATTTGTGGAAAGTTACATTCAAATTATGGCAATGGGTTAATGCTATTAGCTTCCTTCATGTATACCTACTGGAATCAAGAAAGCATGTTTTAGACTAAAATACGTCTTACTCATAAGCATTGTTATTTGGAACTTCCTCAGTTTAATAAATGTCTCCATAGATGAGTTAAATATTGGCCTTTAGATGTTTGTAATTTTCATATAGCAGGTTTGTCTTAGAATTGTGTCCATACTAATTGATTACAAGCTGTTTCTATTTTGACATGAGTTGTTCCTGAGAATTACCTATTTCCTTAATCTCGTTTGATGCCATTTTAGTATACATCCCCCAGACATAAACTCAACTGCAATTTCCATATTAGACAAATAATCCCTCCATTTGGTCTCTTCCTCTAAAGCAATACAAAAAATATGTGTGTACATGAACATGTGTATCTCTGTCTATAGGAGCACATCCCTGAATAAATGTTGACTTGTTTGCATTTGTTCATATCGACACATATTCAAATGAAAAAATCCTTCAGTGTATAAATGAATTAAGAGGAAAATTAGCTTAGTTAAATTTACCAAAATAATGTATTTATGGAGGAAGAGTGAGATTCACAGTCAATAAAATTGTTCTCATCTATATCTATATGTATATCTCTATCTCTAACTATTTGTCTATCACTTACCTATTATCTATCTCTATATCTATCTATCATCTATGTATCTATCTATGTATCTATCTATCTATCTTTCTATCTATCTATCTATCTATCTATCTATCTATCTATCTATCTATCTATCCTCTACCTACCTATCATCTATTTTTCTATCTACCTATATATCATCAATATCCTTATAATGCAAGGAAGCAAAAAAAGTGTCTACTGTTTTGTTTTAAAATAATAACTGAAGCTGTTTGGATATTTACCATGAAGCAAGCCTTGCACTATGTTTGAAATTGGTTAATTATTTTCATTTGCAAATAACTGTCTAAACTTTTTTTTTTTGAGACAGGGTTTCTCTGTATTGTTTTGGAGGCTGTCCTGGAACTCGCTCTGTAGATCAGGCTGGCCTCGAACTCACAGAGATCCGCCTGCCTCTGTCTCCCGAGTGCTGGGATTAAAGATGTGCGCCACCAAAGCCCAGCTCTAAATTCTTAATATGTATCCCTGAAGCTGATTAACCACAAATCCATGATGTAATTGCCTTTTAAAATAGCAGATTTGCTCCTTCTGAGAATGAATAATACTTTGGGTCCCAGATAGTCCCATTTTTATATCTGATTGACATACTTTTCATTTTTGAGAGATCTATTTTGCTTCTGTGATGTTGACTGGTTTAGGGAATCAAACACATTAATGCTACAATGACACACTGGGATCACTTCCCATCAATGCCTGCTTCCAGACTTGCCTTTCCTCATCTTTGTAGGGTCTGTTACAAAGATATGTTTTGGCTCCTTTCTTTCTTCCTGAACATTAGGGTGATTTTCACAACAAGCAACTCTGTTCGTGTCCTTGCCTAATCCATTCTCTATGGATAAACAAATTAAAAATCCTACCTAGTCATTAGTAACTAAGAAATACTTTCTTAACATTGGAAAACTAAGGTAAAATCACCCCAGTATTCAGTTCTGTAATAATTTCTTTAAGCACAAGAAAATAACTTTCTGTAGCAAAAATAACTTCACTCAAAATTATTAATTGATTTAAATTGAAGGGAAACTGGATCTGGATAGGTGGCTTTACATTTCCGTGTAGCTTATGCTCTTGCCAAGGACCAGTGTTTGACTTCTCACAAGGACATCAGGCAGTTCTCAATCACCTGCATCTCCATATGACCTCTTCTACACACATGTAGTATACAATCACACACATACAATAAACAAAAGTAAATCTTTTTAAAATTAAAAAAAGAAATTGTATGCTATTTATTTACTTTGTGACAAATTACATTAAAAGTTGAGATACTGATATATTATTAAATATATACTACATAAGGTTTGTCTTGGATTTATTGAATATTTCTAATTATTTGTTTATTTTGTTTATTTGAGATAGGATTTCATTCTAGCTCAATATGGCTTTTAACTCATTACATTTCAAGCTGGACTCAATCTCATGACACTCCTTCTGCCTCATCCTGCCTAGTATTAATATTATAGGTAAAATACATAATGTGTAACTTGCAATTTTTAAAAATCATTTAATGCAGAACAGATGAAACGCAAGTTGATCAAATCCTAATTATTTAATCTTTCATGTAAAATATTAAAAGGATTTTAAATAGTAAATTAACACTGAATAAGTACTATTAGATTCAATTAAATAATGCAAAATTTTGGAAGACGAAATTATACAATTAGCATGCAAAAAAGGACAAACTACATGATAGTAAGAGGAAAAAGTGCTTGAGCAAAACTGAAAAGGAAATTTTAGTAGTCTCAGCATATAAAGACAGTTTTTAAGCATGTATTCACATTCAAAAATTATTGTTCCTTTCATCCCTTCATACTTATATGTGTAATTGTCTAGAAGAATGGAAAAGAACTGAAGTTATGTTCAAGCTAGTGTGTTCCCATTTATACATCTCTTCCCAAGAGGCTTACATTTTGCTGGACCAGGAAAAGCAGCAGATTGACTACAAAGTACAATTCCTTTATATTTCATCGGTCTCATGGACATGTCTCAGAAAAGTATTTTAATCCCAGAGAACTTGCAGTTCATCACTGGAAACCCTGAAGCCACATTTAGAAGACCTGCCCCAACCTGAATATTCTAATTCATTACAACCCATTTTCTCACTGTGCATCTTCTAAAATGGATAGAGTATCTGTATAATGGATTGAAAACATTAGATGTAACACCAAATTTGGAAAAGAGGAGTATGAACTGTTATTCTATACTAACCTTTCATATTACACTGAAAATTATAACATCTACAAATACCATTTAAGAAATTACATCTTAAGATGGGATACACAAAGAATCAATTTGGTGTTATTGATTATTTTCCAGGGACAAGATCCCATATCAACTTGCTGGAGTTTGTGACCATCTTTGAAAGTAAGTTTTGTAACAGCAGAGTTCAAATCAGTCAAGTGATGGAAGCCTCCACACTGGCAACACACTTTCTTTTACTTTCAATTCCATTTTACTTCTTATATAAAGCTTTTCTTCACCATCACTTCACTGTGTTTACTGACATATATTGTCATTCCTTTTGCTATAATTATGAATGTCTAAGAAGCTTCCCACATTATATGCTCCACACTTTCTCTAACACATTCCCTCTTCTTATCCTCCCTGGCTAAATATTGAGACAGAAACTGTAGGACACAAAGAGATGACGGTGCTTTCATTCTAACAGGATAGTATGACATCAATCATAATAAACCAAATTTCTTGGGTGATGTGAGAATATTTAACAGAGGAGCTGAAGTTAGAGTTAATAGTGTGTGCCCTAAACCTAACTCTGTCCCGAACCCTGTGCTGATTCAAGAGGATTGAAAAAAAGTTTAAGGACATCTTAAACAAGAGAGTGAGTGTTGTCTAAAATAAAATATAATATAGAATATTGAACAGAAAAGATAACATTAGAAGAGGCTGTCGACACAAGCTAGCAGGAAATAGGATTCATTTCTATGCATTCCCACTTCAAATTTGGCTTTTTAAAAAAGGGAGTTACTAAGCTTGTATGCTACACTTCTGAAGGTGTTTCATTCTGATTGAATAATAATGCAATAATCAGAGAAATAAAATTCATGTATAGCCTGACATGCACTTTTATACCTACTTATAAATTTAAGTTATTGTACCACAATATCACCTCTTTAATAGAGGTAAACCCAATGGGATACTCTATTTAGTATAACTTCCATGCTACTAAACTCCACCATTATGTGAAGTCCATTGAGCATGCAAGGTAGAGGCAAAGTGCTAAAATGAAAAATAAAAATGATTAATTGAACAAGCTATTTAAAATGTCCCATATCACTGTATTGCTTTTGATATATTTTTGCGTCTAGCTTCCTCTTCTAGAACATCTGCTAGTACCTCTTTGCCATGAGCTGATCTGCCTGCTTTCTTCCTGTGTGTACACATAACTTCTTTAACTCTTGCTTTTCCACACACATGTTTAAGTTTTCCCCAAAGATATTCTTTCATTCTAATTTACTAATGATTTCAGGTTTCTAGATTATTCTGTTTTTTAAATAAGAGATATTGTTATTATTACTATTATTATATACACTGAGGCAAACCCTTTGCAATGTTCCTTTTTAGTCCTTGGTATACTTAGTCTTAACGTTCATCAGTGTCTTTTGTAATTGCCATTGACAAAATTGGATTCCTTCACATGGTTAAAAGCCAGAACTGCTTTTGGATGTCAGCTGGCTTGCCGACAGCAACACTTGCCTGAGCAGACCTCTTTGTTTGGAGGCTCCTTCTTGCTTTCCCTATCCTAGCCTGCTCAGGCTCTCTAGCCTCTTCTCTCCTTCCCTTGGCTCCTTGATGAATTTACCTTTCAGCATAGATTTTGTTGCATCAGTTACTTCAAAATGTTTGACTTAGGTAAGTTCCTTCTGTACTTAAAAATATTATAACCTTCACTGTGTTGTTGCCTGAGTTGTTTTGTTATTGTTAATTACTGTTTTCAGTGATACAATCAATCTCTCCACTGCTTATGTTTGAAATTGGCATCACTTTTGCTACATTTTCCCATAAATCCTTGCCAATATTAATCCCTGCTAACTGAGCCTCTGTGTTATCTCTCATCTGTTTCATGTCCCTTTCTCATTACTGTCCAACATTTCCTCTTTTTCAAACATCCTCAAAGGGCAATGCAATAGATTCTTAGGTATCTTCTGCCTTGAAAGTCCATTGACATACAGTCCTAAGACTAATACTTTCAGAAGATTCAATTAAAAATGCATGTTTCCTGGTGTATTCCAAACACAGCCCAAGATTTTATAGTATTGAGACCCTCTATGAAGCTGCACAAAAAGTCCCATTTTTCAATGTTCTTTTCCTCTGTTCTGTACATTATAACATGTCATCCAAGCAGCATTCTTGTAAGATCTGTCTATCTTTGTTGTGAAGACTCAACATGTTCTATTAACTCAGGGAGCTCCCTTGCATTCACCACCTCCCTATGAAGTATAGATTAGGTGCTACTTTTGTACTTTGGGTTCCATGTTACAGGTATAATTTTAGAATGATTAGATTATGCTAAATGTATATGATTCTACATTTTATTTCCCACTGACAACACTTCTCAGTTTCCAAAAATGATGAAATCATGGAAAAGAAGTAACTTGATCAAGAATTCAGAGTCAGTAAATGACAGATAAACCCAAGATCGTAAACAATATATACCAACTCTTCTTTTCCACTATATCTCAGCCTCACCTCTGTACACTCCGTGATGCCTCCAGCCTTCAACTGTATCTATTCAACTCTTTTAACAATGGATACTTGCTTCATCATCCCATAGCTATTAGAAGCTCTTACTAAATCATTAGTCATTAATTAAAAGAAACATCTCTGGAAAATTGATGGTGTTTTGATATTCTGAATATGTATTTGTGTCTGGATAGGTCAGTATGCTGTTTTCTTGTTAAAAAACTAAACAAACTATGAACTGAAGGCAATGCATCACAGAGATACCTGTGCATCATCCAGATTTATTATGGCAACACTAGTCTCAATAGCTAAGTTATATATCATAACTATCAGCAAATGAATGGGACCTACATTTAAACACCATGAAATTTGATTTGTCTCTAAAGGGGAGAGACCTAAGTAGTTTTCTGTAAAGTGAATGCAACTAGAAATCAACATACCAAATCAACAAACCAGACAGAGAAAAAATAAATATTACACATTTTATGTTTTCTTCCATTTGTTGGTCCTAAATATTCCTCACAGAAATATAAACCATATATATGCATATTCACACACACACACACACATATATATATAAAAGTAGCACCTAATCTATACTATATATATATATATACACACACACAAAAAGTATATATACATACAAATCCTGAAAGAAAAAGAGAGAATGGGGGATAGAAGGAGAGGGTAGCAGAAGGGAAACGCAAGCTGGAGAGGGAAGGAAACTGAACTAAGGTGAATATGACCACAGTACATGATATATTTGAAAGAAATTGCTTTTATGAAATCCAATGCTATGTATGAATATATATCCATAAAATTTAGTACACTGATGCAAACTTTTAAAGAATAAGGATTACTGACTGCATGCTACTGCCTTTTATTGTCTCTATTGTACATTATGCATGTGGTTAAGTGATTATTGTGCCTTTCTTCTCATAATCTACTTCAAACTGTCTTCTATATTCTAACGAAGCTCGGAGACCTCCAATAATGCATGGATTCAATGATAGATAGAGATTTATTAGAACACTATTCTTTTGTAATGAAAATTTCATCAAAATGAAAATGTTAACATCCAGCTCTATAATCTCTGTGGTCTACCATTCACTTCCACGTCTGTCATTTGCTGCTAGCGGGTCTTTCTTGTGGAACCTGACCTGGCACTTCTCTAATTCTTGCAATATTCAGCTAAAAAAGCAACATGTGGAAATGGTATCTTTGCTATTCCACCAAGAAAACCTTGGCTGGAGACACTATTATGTGCATGCATTGGTTTGGTGCTTGTATAAAATTGCAGTGGATTGTGGAGGCTCTGTAGAATATTGTTTCTTACCCCAATCCTCTAAACACATTAAGAAGCAGTTATTATACATGAAAATAACAAAGACAGACTTTTTGAACCAAGATTATTCTCATACGAAGGAAATTGAAGAATTTATTATGTCAATTAAAAATAGGTTGAAAATGGGGTTTTCGAAAATAATAGTTCTTTTAGCTTTTTATGAGAAACAGTTCCTCTTTTATTAAGTGAACAATCAAAAGCTAGCCTGTAAAATTATAACATGATGGTCTAGATTATTAGAGATACCTTCTTCATTAGTGGAAAATGGGGTAAAGATTTTCCTTGATACCTCCTATGATGCTGACATCCTGAATTGTATCTTATATGCATCTGTTTTATGCCCATGACTTTGATTTCACAAGGAAATTAACACTCAATGCTCAGTGCTATAAAAGGAAGGTCTATAACTGTCAAGAGAATTGAGCTTTTGATAGGGGTAGTGACTAAGCCTCATACCTTAAAATGTTTTCTAGCTAAATAATAAACTTGATATTTGCTATGATCTAGCACATTCTGTTTTTTCATATTCTATGCATACTTAAGCAGGATCATGAAATTTCAGTGTAAACCTGCCTTTTTGAGACAGCAGCAACCCTGTAGTTGTGGTTTATTTACTAGTGTTGGCTACCTCTTTTTACTCCATTGTTTTAGCCAGAATCCAAAAATCACAAAACATACAGACACCAAAGTTAGGATGAGACACACGCATTGTCTCTAAAAGAGCCAAAATGCTTATTCAATGAGAATTCTCCTGAAATGTATTCCTTTTAATTCTACTCGTGAGAAAATCAAAATCATAACCATTTCAACAATTACTTAATTGAGGAGAGGAAGGGTCACTCCACTTCTAAAAAGAGGAGATGCATAAGCCAACTAATCAGAGGTGCCTGATAAACCCAAATTTCCTGAAAGGAAATCATGGACTGCCTTAGTAGGGAGGTAGAAGGAAAATGAAAAAAGTCAGGGCACATACATTTCCGTGATGGTTTCGGGTAGATTTGTGGGGATTTCAGTGAGACCTTTCCCTCGGCAGTCTACAATATTGTTGCTACAGGTACAGGCAGCAGGGCAGTGCAGAACACTGCAGGAGGGAGCCATGAATGACTGGTGACCTGAAAGCAAAAGAAAAATCAACAACAGTTAGAGTTTACCCTTGAATTTCCCAAAAGACGGACTCGTAGACTATGCTCAACTAAGAAAGCAGAAGACAGTGATCAGTTCTCTTACACTTATTCATTAAACAAGTGTCCTTAATATCACTAGAATATATTTTGGAAAGCATGCAGTTATATCTTGAGATTTAAAAGAAAAGAAATCATAAAGAATTGTAACATTTTAGAACTAGGAGAAGACAAGAGTTCTATTCAAAAGTAACAGGAGTTCAAACAACAACAACAAAAATATAGTCACGAATGATCTATATCATTCCTAATAAGCTTAAGAGGAGATTGGTTGTAATCAAACTGATGTAGTGTAATTTACTTTGCTTATGAAAAAAAAGAAGAAATATAGAGGACTTCCATCTTGGTTGACATAACTGTTCGTCAAATTAAGTTACCTTGTGCCAACAAATGGAGGAGAAAACTAGATAATAGAAGTTTGATGTCTGGATAGATTCAAAATTGCTGCTTTCTTTGAACTTATTATAGTAATTTATGGGAGATCATTCTGTAATTGTTCATCCAAATGATTCTTTTCAGGGTTTCATCTGATAGTAACTTATGCTATGAGCAGTCACCTGCAGATGTGTAATTTCACTACTCAGTATTTGAAAACAAAAGTATTCTGAAATCAGATTTCCCAGGCTGAGTAATGAAAACCAGAACATCATCAGTCAGGCTGCATCAAACAGGCGCCTGCTTAGTCATGGCTTCTGGAGAAAATCAGGATAGCTCTCTGGGATCTTATGGAAAGAGACTCTCCCAGTGGGAGAGAAGTGCCAGGATGAGACTGTGGGCTACCTAATAAATCCATCCCTCCACACAAGCTCTCAAACTACAACAATATTGCAAGTCTAAAAAATGCAGTGAGGGAGAAAACACACACACATACAGAAAAAAAATGCAAACTTGCCTTCTTCCTCATCTAGAAGGCAGCAAGGAAAAAGCAAAAAAGAGAAAAAAATGATGGTTAGTGGAGAATTGTTAGTCACTTCTTTGGATTTTTAAAAAGCAATCAAACATACTGAGAATATTCTGTGACATTATAAGAGAATTGGGGTTAGAACACAAAGTGGGGAAAATACATTTAATTGCCCAAAAGACATCTTTAAATGTCCAAGGATGAGCTAGTAATTTCTTTCCAGTCATTTAAAAATGCGAACTGCTTTCCACGCATGGTAGTCCTCTCTAGGTAAGCATGGGTGAAAAGACTAGCACCTTCACAACCAGACCAAGTGGCTGTACAAATCTCTTACATAGGATGGGATTGTATTTGGATATATCCTATGTGAATCAACCCTATAATACCAGTCTTTTTTGAGTTATCTACAACGATGAGTAGAATATAAAAGATGGCAAATATTTGTTAAAATAGTGCATTACTTACAGATTATAGACAAGAAAGAGACGATAAAGTTTCAGTAATTATCATTTGTTTTTAGAAATGTTTTGATCCCTGATTAGTTGAACTCGTATCTGCGCAATCCATAAATATGAAAATCCAATTATGTAATGATTTCAAATTTTGTGTTTGGCCTGGTGATGTGGCACAGAAGAAGAGTTACTGCCAAGGTATACGAGGGCCTGGGTTTGATCCCCAGGAAGATAAAAAATTCATGTATTGCATTATATTTAAACAAATCATTCTCAAGCACACCTAGCCA